TATAAAAAAATTATATTTACAATACCGCCAAAAAAAGGAAAAAAAATTATGCGCGGCGAACGTTTTACGAATTAACTATTAAGGGCATATAAAGAAAGCAACAATCAGTCTGGTGAAGATAAAAGTCAATGTCGATCGATACCTGTCGATTTCTAAAAGCTCTCCTCAGGCAGGATGAGAAGTAGAAGTAGAGAGGGAGGGCTGGGGGGGGTGCGTTAAAACCCCAGCTGCTTCGCTGTTACTCACGCACGGATCTTTAGAGAGTTATTATGGATCATCCCAACCAAGGAGGCGATAAAGATGAGCAATTTCCTGGTAAAGCGATCTCATTAACGTATCCCTTTTTTTTTTCCTAGTTATAGTGTTATTTAAAGTCTTCAGTTTCTCTCTTCCTCTTGTGTTCTTATTCGATCAAATTGAAAATTTTTTTCGAGTTATTGACCTTTTACTTAGTCACAGCGCTACTAGGTCAAGATGAGGAAAATTTTTTTGAAGGGCGTCAGTATTTATTGTCAATATTATTAACTATATATAGTTTTATAGAAATTTTATTATTATTTTTTATTTGATTGTTTGCAGTTCAATCCCATCCCAGTTACTGGTAGATGACATCCCGGATTCATTTTGGAATGAAGCAGGACATGGTGCTCCAACACGTGTGGAGTCTAATTTCCCGATCCAAATGCCAAAATAATAATAATAATAATAATTAGTTTTTGTGTTCTGTTTGGTAGGCAAAAGATTGGTTCAATTTTATTTCTGATGTGTGCCCATTTGGACCAGTTGCGTTGTTACTAGGACTAGAGAACACCACATGTTTTATTTCCGCCTTTGTGACAGCTGACAGTAAGAAATGTGATAACTCAACAAGTGATTAGAAGGAAAATGAATCTGCAAGCCAGTTATCATTTGCCTTAACATGGTTTAGATTTGCTGTCCCCAATAGCTTCTTGTAGAATGACACTGCTTCCTCTTCCATTTCAGTAAACCTTAAAAGTTTTTCGTTATCCTGAGTATATAGCTCCCCAATTGTGCTTTTACCCTTTATAACTCTCACCACCTTATGGAGAAAAACAGTGTTACACTGCAAATTTTTAACTTCAATTATAGTGTTATTTAAAGTCTTCAATTTCTCTATTCCTCTTGTGTTCTTATTCGATGAAATTGAAAATTTTTTTCGAGTTAATTTCCTGATTAGTTATTTGATCTTTTACTTACTCACAGCGCAACTAGATCAAGAGGAGGAAAATTTTCTTGAAGGGCGTAAGTATTTATTGTCAATATTATTAACTATATATGGTTTTATAGAAAAATTATTATTTTTATTTGATTGTTTGCAGTTGAATCCCTGTTCGGGGTAGATGACCACGACGTCCCAGATTCATCTTGGGATGTAACAGGTGTGTAGTCTAATTTCCCGATAAAAATGGCAAAAAAAAAAAAAAAAAAAAAAGAAGAAGAAGAAGAAAAGAAAAGAAAAGTTACTTTTCATGGTTTTACCTATTTGCAGGTTCACTGGATGAATGGAATTCCTTGAATCTTCACAACCCTCAAACTTGGAATTTCGGCAATCGGTCTGTATCAGGAACAGAACAACCAGGTACGCAAAAGATTGGTTAAATTTTATTTCTGATGTGTGCCCATTTGGACCAGTGGCCTTGTTACTAGGACTAGAGGACACCACATGTTTTGTTTCTGCCTTTGTGACTGGCGACAGTAAGAAATCTGATAACTCAACAAGTAATTAGAAGGAAAATAAATCTGCAAGCCAGTTATCATTTGCCTTAACACAGTTTAGATTTGCTGTCCCCAATAGCTTCTTGTAGAATGACACTGCTTCCTCTCCCATTTCAGTGAGCCTTAAAAAGGTTTTTCGTTATCCTGAGTATATAGCTCCCCAATTGTGCTTTTACCCTTTATAACTCTCACCACTTTATGGAGAAAAACAGTGTTACATTGCAAATTTTTAACTTCAATCCAATCAATATATCTTTAGATTTTCTAAGCAATAATAGTTTTTCTTTAGTAATTTTGATGAATATCTCATACACA